TGGGGGTGGGGGGTGGGGGGGCATGATGATGATCTTTGTTATATTGAATATATTGAACATAATAAAACCAACTTCCATCTCAGAGATTTCACAGAATGCAAAACATGTTCAGGACATCATTACCACCAAAAACCCTGAAATGAATAAATTTACTTCTGCAGCAACAAAGGCAAGCTATAGGTTTATTTACTGATGTGCTCAGCAAACATCAGGAAACATGGGATGAAAGAGATCCATAGAACTGTAATACCTCTCTTTACAGTAGTTCTTCGTCTTGAAAAAATCTATTAGAATTTATGTAGGGATGATCTGAAGGAACCAGCCCATTTGCATTTAATCTGTGACATCACATCCTATTAATCACACATATACTGTATGTATAATGTGGTGTTTGTATATTGTAACTCAACAAAACATTTATGTTCTTGCACACTAGGGTAAAACATTTTATCAGACCCCTGGGTGATGTTACATAACAAAATGCTAGCTTTGTGTTCTGCACCATATGTACCATGTGTACCATGTGTACTGTACATATGTACACTTTTGAATACAGAGTCCAAAACCCACAGTCTCAAGGGTCCAAACCAATCATTTTTCAAAGCAGCACACTCACAGAAGCAGCCAGTCACAGAGCTACTTCAACCTTCTAGAACAGATGGCGCCATTCTCAGTCCTGACACTGATTGATTTCACTGCTGCCTTTCACACAATTACATTTTCCTGTCTGTGCTCAAAGAGCAGAGTATTAGCATGGCTGTGATTTCAGTTCTCTATCATTAGTTGCTTATGACAAGTGATGTGGAAAGAAAGACCACATCAAGTCAAGTCAAGGTTTTTATTTGCCATTTATGCGTAAACAGACAGTCTAGGCATATAGAAATTCTTGTGCAGCTCTCCTTTGGAGTCAGGTAAGGAGTCAAAAGCCAGAAAGAACACTTAGTCTTAAAATAAAAAAAGTTACATAAAGACAACAAAGCATTAAATCCACAATACACAAAAATAGGGTAATAGTATTTTCTCCAGTGAACTTCAAACATTGCACTTAGTAATTCACATGGTGGAATTGGATATGTCATTACACTTGGAGAGGTAGTGAGGGGTTCTAATATAATGAAACACAGTTTATATTCAAGATTGCTTCCATTGCTTGGTAGAGAATGTCCTGCTATTATTCCGGTCCCACAAGAGAACACTGCTGATGAGATGCTCTTACAAAAATACCTTGTGGAACATTTCTGTATTATTATTGCACATGTCTAGTGAGGGGTTATTGCACATACTGTATATTCTCACATTTTTGTATTTGCCATCAGTCTTACTGTGGCAGGGAAAAAGCTGTTGTAAAGTCTAGTTCTGTGTGTGATGATACTGTCCACCCTGCTGTGCCTGAGTTTTTGTGTCTGAGCACAAAGTGAGCTGGGTGGCGTGGATCCCTGAGCATGTTCTCCACCATTTTATGACAGTGCTGTGTGTACAGTGTGTCCATAGCAGGCAGTTCAGTCCCAATTATCATCCAGTTTTTATGACCCTTTGAAGAGCCTTCCGCTCTGCCTGTGTGGTGTTACCATACCAGACTGTGATGCCAGTAGTGAGGATGCTCTCTACCAGTCCTCTATAAGCCTGGGTGAGAGGGCAACGGTTCAACCCAGCTTTTCTGAGCCGCCTCATGAAGTATAGCCGCTGCTGGGCTTTCTTCACTGTGGCAGCTGTGCTCAGTGACCAGCTCAGGTCAGATGTCACCTGCAGGCTCAGGAACTTGAGGCTGTCAGCCCTCTCCACCTCAGTCCCTTTGATGGTCAGAGGCAGCAGAGGGGAGGGGTTAGTCCTGAAGTCCACTATTATTTCTTTTGTCTTGTTTATGTTGAGGATGAGGTCATTCTCCTCTCCATAAACAAGAATGTTGTTCACCAAGCTTCTGTAACCCGACTCGTCTCCCCCCTAGATGAGGCCCAGAATGGTGTTGTCATGGTTGGAGACACAGTCGTGACGTACAGGGTAAAGAGTTTGGGGCTGACACAGCAGCCCTGCGGTGAGCCTGTGCTGATTGTGAGATCAGCAGATACCCACCCTCCCATTCCAACTACCTGTGGTCTTTCAGTCAGGAAGTCCAGAATCCAGTTACAGGTGGGAGTTGGTAGACCAAGGACTGTCATTTTCCCAATCAACCTACCCGGCCGAATGGTGTTGAATGCAGAACTGTAATCCAGGAAGAGCATCCTAGCGTACGTACTGCTGTTGTTCAGGTGTTTCAGGGTATGGAATAAAGCCAGAGCCGTCGCGTCGTCCACTGATCTGTTGGGGCGGTAGGCAAACTGGAGAGGGTCTACAGTGTCCAGGACCATGTGGTTGGCGTGTGTGAGGACCAGTGTCTCTAAGCACTTCATGGCGACTGATGTGAGTGCCACTGGCCTGAAGTCATTCAGAGTGGATGTGTCTGATGTCTTAGTGACCGGTATGATAATGGATTTTTTGAAAATGCGATGAACTACTGCTTGGGTTAAGGACAGGTTGAAGATGTCTGTATACACACTGGCCCACAGGGGTCAGTGCTGGGACCCCTTCATTGCCCTCATACACTGATCCTCTTGGTGGTGTAATCTTGTGACATGGTTTACCATACCACCCATATGCTGATGACTCTCAAACAGTGAATTCCTTCTCTGGAACTCAGATGTCTGCATGGCTGTCAAATGCTGACTGATGAATGATGGCTTACCACTTACAGCTCATCCAAACCAGGACTAAAATGTTTCTCATCTCAAAAAAGGACTGTTCTTTTATTACTCTCAATTGTAATGAAAGAAATCATGGCCCTGTCCTCCAAAGTGGATTGACTGATTAAATAAGTGACTGACTGATAAACTGGCTGATTCAAACTAAGTATGAAATAGATTGGGAATTAAATCTTTCAGTCTTGTGCACACAGTGAATTAATGATTTAGTAATTGATAGCAATTCAGAAAGGAACTTCCTGATTTCCCTTTTCCTATTTTCTAGTTCTCACTGAACTACAGTGAGTTAAGGACTTGTGGCAGTCCAGATGGGAAAGAGCTGAACTGTTCTTTTATGACTGAGTAGTGTCCCAGTGTCGTTGATGTGCTGAGCCACCAGTTGGCAAATCAAAAGATTTGTCAAAAAAAGAAGCAGAAGAAATATATATGTATGATGGGGAATAGGAAGTAGTTTACAATGAATGCAAACAACAAAGATGGAAGAGGAAAGCATTTAAAAAGGGGAGGAGGGTAGTGAAAAAAATGTTAGAGCATTAATGGATGGTGTGGAGGGGAGAGGCTGAGAGAATGAGAGTTACAGAGAAGAAATGGGTGAAGAGTGCCTTCTGTCTTCCACAGTTGCCATGGACACCAAGAAAGCTGACTTACTGCTGTGTGAATATTTTTTGAATGGAATACACACACACACACAGTAACATTCCTGCCATCATGACCATCTCCCACTTGTCTCTCCAGTCACAAAACACCCATCTCTCTAAATTTTCAAAGAAGACAAATGAATTTGACAAACAGTAAATTGCATGCTAATCATATTTACATGCTCTTTTGTGTGGAGTATTTTAAAATGCCTGTTAGGCTCTTATTATCACACAGTATGAGAGCACAACACAACATTTGTACAGACAGCGGAGCATCACAAACACACAGGGCACAGCGCATTACCATTTGTGTTTATCTCTGATGGGTGATGACTGCTGGGCTCTTGACTAACAATGGAAACCCATTTATTACTTTTTTTTTACCCAACTCACCCTTTTATCTTTGTATCTCTTTTTCAGTTTGTCCCTTTTAAAATTACCAATAAATGTGGGAGATCCGGAAGCTTTGATATGTTAATAAACAGTAATCACATAGCCTAAGGAAAGTCTGTTAACTGAGTCCCTCACTTGGCATCAGCTTTGAACTTTCTTCTTCTTTAGTAACCTCATTAATGGTTTCTCTATATCCCCATTACATCAAAGGACTATGTTTTATCATACAAGTGATTATTTTTCAGTGAAAGTTACAGCACATCCTTGTATGATGCATGCAACGAACTGCCTGGTTTTACTTACCTTTTCCATTCAAGCCTAATGGGCCTGAAACCACTAGTTTATGCCATAATTACTGGGCTTGTCCATCACTAAAATGAATTCAGTGAAGGCGGAATTGACTGTGCCTTCAGAAACTGACAGGCTCACCAAATGCATAGTAGGAGTAATGGCACAACATGCACACTCTTCAGAATATTGTCACTGATTGTCCCATGAGAAATATATTGATATCTTGGCTATAAAGAATTTGTCTCTGGTACAGAACTGAGGCAGCCATCTGTGGCACCAACTCAACCGATGGCTCTAACCATCAGGGGAAACGGGGGGGGGGTTCAGTCTCGCCCAAGGACACTTCCACACGTGGACTGCCAGCACCGAGATTCGAACCTTCAACCTTCTGGTTGGGAGTCGACTGCTTTACCCACCGCACCAGTGTCGCCTCCCCTCCCTAATTACACTGTGAACACCCCAGAAACGGTTAGGAACGATAAATAAGCAATAAGAACAGGAAGGTAAATGCCCCCTCCCTTCCCCCGGTGTGTGTGGTAATTTGTAATCAGTTGAGTGTATGGCAAGACTAATCATGGATGTCACAGCAGATGAATCCCAGGCTGGGGAGTGACACTGCGCTGGCTTCAGTAGTGCGGCTCCTTTAAGTTCATTTCTATTAAACTTACATAAGCAACATTATGTGAGTGGATTTTGAGTGCCATAGAGATCGATGTATCTTTAAAAAAGAAACTTATTTCATGGGATTAAAAACAACGTTCTATCGTCCTCTGGTCGGCCACGTGCAGGCACACTACAGGTACTACTGCTCTCAAACCCCCCCTATGGTAAAACGGTGCTCAACTTTTCCTGAGCTTGTTGTCGCTTGAAGGCGTAAAGACATTGGATGAGCAGGGTGCAAAGATTCACTGTAGCGAGAGTCCGGTTCCGAAGCGCGCATGCATTTCAGCACCTCGGACAGCGCACGGCGCCACAGTGGCGATGCGTGGATTCAACCGGTGGCTTTCAGCCAGACCAGGACCTCTCAGCTGAATGTTACGTAAAGAAAACTCTGTGCTCCACATGTGGGAAAGGATTTGCTTTCTGGATCACTCGGACTTGTGCTTTTTGTTCTTTCTCATACAAAGCGCCTCCGTCGAGTAGGCTACATCGTGCTGGTAGGCGTGCCGCTGGATAAGTGGTTGACTCCAGAAGCCGTGCTGAGCAGCGTGGAATAGTTGACTGTCATACGGGCGGAGTGGTGTGGTGGTGCCTTAGAGACCCTCCATTTGTAAGGATGCTGGTGGGAAATGCCTGGAGACAGAGATGACGAGATTTGTCAAAAGGCACTTGAACTCCTGTCAGATCTTTGTTCGAAGGGGGAAGTGCAGAACGAAAACTGTCTGGATTTTATCTACTATTTCCGAGACCTTGCCAGGCCACGCTACACGGATTCAGGTAAGGAACCATTTCCGCGCTTGATTCATGGGTTGTACTGAATTAAACTGAACAGGACGCCCCTTTCCCTGAACATTCTTCGGTTAGAGGTCGATAGGCGGTCTAAGCTGTTGGTTAGAGCGCTTTCTCAATCGATATTTGTATGGAAATGTGGTGTGCACATTAATTATCTCACTAATTATTCAGTTTAATTATGCCATTTTTATTGCAAGTTAAATGCTCTTGCACGGCCTCCCCTTTTCACCTACAGCCAAAATTCGAGGTCTAAAGTAAAACATTTTTTAAATTTCCATTCTACATCCAGGTGAGTCTGCCATTCTTTAAGATTCCAAATGTGTGGTTAGTCCAGTTCATTCCTGACACATGTGCACATGCCGGCGGTGATATCGTGCAGTGACAGAAATCATATTCAGTAAAACTGGATGCATTCGGCTACTCTTTTCCGTGGGTGAGTTACACCTGCACTCGCCGGTAGCAGTTACTGTCGTGGCACACTTACCTACCCACCTACTCGTTTAAAAGTTTACCTCATATTTATTTCGTACTGTTACCTACGTGAAACATTTACTAAATAAATGAAGCTTATTTAACTTTGTAATGACACAACTCTATTGCAGTTTTTTTGTTTTGTTTTGTAAAACCAAGCGAACATCCAGTCACACGTGAAGGGTTAATGGGACCATATAGTCACGCTTCATCACTACCAACACTAGACACCATCGTCTGGATGTTGTGTATGTGTATGAGACTGTGTGCAGAGAAGAGAGAAAAGGCGTTGAGGGAGGGACACAAGTGCATTCCTCCTTATACATAGGCTACTCCATTCTTTCTGCTTCCATTATTTAGAATTATTGTTATTATTATAAAGCTCCCACCCCTTTCTATCTGCTTCCCATGTCTGCATCTTTATATTCCTCCTCATTTCTTCTATTCCATAATCTCCCATCTCTCTTTCTCTCTGTCCTGCCTTATCTTTTTCATTGCACTGCCAGTCTCAGTGGAATCACTACAATATAGCAGGCACTGCAGTGGGCTTAGCTGTCAGAATGGCCTGTCTATAAGATTTTGTTGCAGTTTAGCTGGCACATGTAATACACAATGGCAACAGTAAATAACAGAATGACAAAAGAAGTAGATGAAAGAGAGAGAGCAGGTCCAACATCATGTGACCTATAGGTTAGTGTTTTTCTCAAGGGGACAGTTCATGAACATTTATCTACAATTCACAAACATTCTGAACAAAAAGATAAATTTGTTATCTTGACTCATAAAAACCTATTAAGGAGATAGATTTGTGACCACCTTGTCAGATATGAGAGGAAAGATAATCAGAGCAAACAATTATGTCAAGTGATTAAGTAAAGATGTATAACTTAATTTCAATATTTTGGGAAATATGAGAGCTCAGCACCACTCTCATATCACTCTATTAAAAATGAGCTAAACTTTGTTAGCTTAGCTCAAAGACTGGAAACAAGAATACAAAACAAGCCTGGCCCTGTCCTGGGTGCCAAGCTATTTCTCCTTATTTCCAGTCTTTAGGCTATTCTAAGTTAACTTGGCTGTAGCTTCATATTTACCATACAGACATGAGGGAGGGGTAGAACTCTATTCTATTGTCTCATCCAAGGTTTGGCAAGAAAGTGAAAAAGTGTATTTCCCAAATGTGGAACTATTCCTGTAAGGCTTAGCATGTGCAGAGAGAGCATTTAGTAGTGGTTTCCTAACCAGGATGCAAAGCACTGCTGTTTTTAAACTGTAGCTGTCTAATTAGTTAGACATGGTCCATAAGGTCAGTGCAACTAATATCCTGTGAGGATACAAACCAGCAGTAATCAGGGCCCAGAAGACAACCAATCAGAGCCACCTGTGTGTAACATATTATGCTGTGTACTCTGTGTTGATATTAACTATATTAAAAGAAGAAAATTAAGCAACATCCAACATGTATTTACAAAGAACCATGTTTAAGACAAGTAACACCTCAGGAGGTAGAAGTTCCATAAACTGGTTTTTCAGCGCTCATTTGCTTCCTACATATTTGCACCTTTGAGGGTCCTGAGCTCTAAATTTGGTCCAGTATTGTTGTGGTGACACAGTCTCTGAATCTTTCCAGACGTCTGGATACTTGTGCACCAGGCAGCATTCAGACAGCCTGCCAAGCTGGCTGTGGGCCCAGTGCCATCATATGAGTGACTCCCTCAGTTTCTCCACATTATTCTCCCAAATCACACATACTTTGGTATTCACACAATCTCAGAGAGGACAGAAAGGACCGTTTGAGTTCCTGTGCGAGGTCATATGGCAGTGCCCACACACAGCCCAGCCCAGCATTAGGCAGTGCTGCTGGATTTAAAAAAGATAGGCTACCTTATCTATATCATATAATGAATAATCCAAAACTAGCATCTAGAGTGTTTTCAGATTTGTTTTGAGTAAAACCAAGCAGTTTTAAATGTTGTGTTACATATTGTTTCATTTACTTTGTTGTTGTTTCAGAAAATGTCCTGTGATTTTTGTTTTGTTTTGTTATGGACATACATCTGTCAAAAATTTATAAATACTAAATGGTGTAGCTGAAAACAAAGTTTTTCAGTTACAGATTTAGTAAGTGAATATTCAGGATTTTCTTTTAATAATGAAATAACTACTTACTAAAGGAGGATGACAAGAATAAATACAATGATTGTAGAAAATGATTTACAAATTCATCAAGCCTCAGTGTGGGAATAGCAACAGCTGGTGGCAGTCTTTATAAACCAAACAATACTTACCGTATGTCACCATAAAGTCAGCTAGGTATATGGGAAGCTTGTCAAGTCATACAAAAATACATTATTATTATTATCTAGAGTGCATGCACATTCTCTGTTCAGGTAATCATGAGGGGAATGTTGGCTTTATATGATGCTCATTATGATTATTACAGTATGATGATTATTTTTAACCATATTAACATGCATTTAATTTGGAATCCCAGAGTTTTTTGATGAATAAAGTGATATCGATAGATAGATATTGTAAATAGATATTGTAGATAGATACTTGATTGATCCCAAGGGAAACTGGTAGTTACCCAGGAAAAACAATCATTACTGTCTCTACAACCTGTAATGGGACAATTACTATGAGTAAAGTAATTAAAATGATTATACACTACTTGTCTTTGGAGTATTAAAAAAATCCATACAAATCTTCATCAGCATCGACACCGATGGACATGTAATAACCTGTTGCGTAGTCAGCACAAACTGGGCGTAAGTCTGTATCACTGCCCTCACACGTAATGAGGCATAGCCAAAAATAGACATGGTCATGAGGGTACAGCAGACTGATGCTATAAAAAACACTGTGCAGAAGCTTGGAATTTTCAAAATGCAGACTGACTGTACAGTACCTCAAGGATGGAAGATATGTCATTGCAGTAAATTAATTACCTGAATGTGTTGTATTGTATGCAGAATGGTAAGCAGAGGCTTACCATGCACAAAACAGAGTCAGCATTATTTAGCATCACTGGAAAATATAAAAAGCAACATGTAACACGAGTAACAATTTTATTAAAGTTCAATAATGTCATTAACAAAAATTTAACTAATCAGACAACATTACTTCACTATGTAAAAACAACGTGAACCTGTGAACATCTGAACATACTGTATGAACATCTAGCACAAGCTGCAACAGTTAAAAAGGTATTTAGTGGTAAAAGACAGTGAGGGGATTAGAATTTTTCCATCTCAATATAATACTGGTATGCCTATAAGCACACTGAAGGGGTTGATGTGATCATTCGTCTTGTCCATACTGTAATGTGATTTCAGCTCTGCTGTCCTCTGTCTACATTGCATAGTACTTTCAAAGCTAATGGCTAAAGTATTTAATTTGGCTAATGCAGACAGCTGAATATTAGGTTGAGCTGAACTTTATAATGCATTTTTGCTTAAAATGAGGTCCATAGACCTCCCACGTTTTCCAGTTTAGTAAAGGGGAAGACATCAAGGAACCACAGCACAGTATTTAAGTGTGCACGGCAATAAAGGTACCCTTTGCTCCTGATGGCTACCAAATGGGCCGGACTGGTATTAAAGCTTTTAAAGTTCAGAACAATATTTGCAACACTAGTTATTATTCTAGCACATCATCATTATGTGCTAATTGCAAAGCAGCTGTCTCAGTGTCTTCCCTCCAGTGAATGCACAATATGTGGAATGTACTGCTTAAGATTAGATTTAATTAAGATGTGGAGAGTTTTTTTTTTTTTGACACAGATAAGTTGTGTTGTGAATTGTATTCAGTTATGGTGTTGTTGAGTGATTACAGTAATCATTGATTTTTGCCTTAGAAAAACTCCATATGCTGTGCAAAATGTAAGCCTTTGGGAATTGCACCATTTAAAATGGTGAGAGATAGTCCTAAAAACTAATCTCAGAAATGTACTGCATTCTAATTATAATGTTACCTAAGTGCTGATCAAACCTCTGCTGATGTCTTAGCTGATGTGAGCAGTTCATGAGAGGACTGTAATATACTGCTTCCAAATCTTTACCTTCAAATGAAACAGGTGTAAACAAACACACAACAAATTTTAAACAATATCTCATGTCCTTTTACGCTCACAGCTAAACTCAGTGCATATAACTTGTTATTACTTTGTGGAAAAAACTTTTAAAAATAATTGTCTTAATAAATAAATCCTGTTCAGGTTGTTTTTTTAAGCTGTTTTAGCTGTTAACCACTGATACCAGATCAGTGCTTTAAGGGCTTTAAAGGTGTAAACCATTGTTAGTTTAAGTTCTAACATCAACAGGATGTAAAACTAACTAAATAACTAAAGTCTGTTTGGAGTTTTATTGTGAGCTTACTCATAGGAGGTACCCCACCTGTCAAATGTTTAACACACTTTCTCATTCAATTCAGGGGGAATGTGTGTACAAACCTTTGACTGGTGAATGAATGACTGAATCAATTAAAGTTACCAGATGCTGGTGGTAGTGCATGATAAGGATTAACGCCACTCTGGGGTCTTATTGACCTCAGACACGACTAACATCGACATTATCAAGCAACTGGCAAAGGGAAGGTTTATCACTTCTGTCTCACATACAATACTGGGTGTTGAAAAAGGAGAAAGAAAAACACTTTTGGACTAGTACAAATGTTCATTTAAGTCATGTTATTATTGTACTGGGTCATAGACTGGAATTAGGCACTGTTTTGTTGCCGCAGTTACTTTGACTTATCTTTCAAAAACATTTAGGGAAAAGTCAGAGCCCACCCCCTGAGAACACACAATTCAGAAAGCCCTTGGTGACTGTTAATACGCACCTCAGCTCCCTTCTCATGGTGCCTGAGACACCCTGTTCTGATGTAAACGAACGTTCTGCAGAAATATTCAGTATCATGCTCTGAAAGCATAAACTCTTACTTGACATACAAAGGCCTGGCGTGATGCTCCTGTAGATCTTTTACACAATAATACATAATTATACCCATTAAGCCCCCCCTACAAAAATGTTGTAAACAATTGAAATAGTTGTGAGTGAAACAACAGCTCACCGCCTTAACAGTATGTTTGTGGTATGTGCTGGTGCGTATGTTTCAGCAAACTCTTCCTCCATGTTATCAGCAAAGGACTGAAAATAACTGCATGGGTCACACCAAGCCTAGAGGACAGATATAAGGCTCCAGATGAAATTTAAATAAATGTAGTTAATCCGAACTAATCCTGTCAAGGATTCTTTGTAGCAATAAAGAAAAGAAAAAGAGAAAGTTCCACAAAATCCCCAGTATTTTCACTGTAATAACAAATTAGACTTTGTTTGCCAGGTCAAAGAAACATGAATTGTCATAATATGACACCTCAGGTGAATGAAAACATTTCACATACCCATGAGTGTCAGTGAAGTAACACCGTATTAGTTACTATATAAAGGTTATGACTGTTATGGTAAATGTATAGCTTTTCAACAAAGCAGAAAGAAAACTTAATTCACTGCTACTCTTTTGTCATATCAGATATATCGGTGAGTCTGTTGTCACTGGTAGTGACTGCCTGTGGCCTGGCCCTGTTTGGGGTCTCCCTCTTTGTCTCCTGGAAGCTCTGCTGGATACCATGGAGAGAGCGTGGGCTCTCTCCCACCACCAAAGAGGCCCATGGGCACCTCAACCCCACTATGAGTCCCCTACCTTCGCAGCTTGCACCCAGGCAGCCAGTTTACACAGCTGTGGACCCCCCGGCGCACAACCGCCGTGAGTCTTCGCAGTGCTCCATGGCCAGAGAGCCCACTTCTGTGGCATCGGTTGTATCAGTGCAGGCTCCTATGACTCCAGTATCACCACCACCTGTGGTTATGGCCACACCTGAGGCAGCTATGAAGATCAGTCACACATCTCCAGACATCCCATTGGACGCCCAGAGTAAAGGCCAGGAAAACGGGGTTCACACTAACCCTCGTATGCAGAGACAGACCACTGAACCCCGACCATCTGGTTGCTCAATATCTGAAATTGGGTCAGTATAAGTGCGCTGTGGATTTCTTTGTTTTCAACAGAACTAGATTCTACCTGGAGAAATTTGTAACACTTCTGCTTAAAGTTATGGAAAGACTATGGTTATGGCATTAAATTATGGCTGATGTATGGTTAGGGTTAAGCAACAAAAATGCTTGGTTAAAATTAGGTGATGGTTAAAGTTTTACCAAGACATTCCATTTAAATAAATGACCACTCCAGCATGACACATACACTACACAATGCTACATGCCTATTCTGGCTTTTCCTCAGCTTGTTAATGTTGTATGATGATATTTGTATTTGATTTTCTCCACAGACAGGGGTCCATTCGCAGACATATGAACCTGTCTAACCCTGACTTCAATGTGGCCCAGTTCCAAAGGCAGGACTCACTCACTGGAATGGGGCTGGGCCTTGGCCGTCTCAAACCTGAGCTCTACAAGCAGCGCTCCCTTGAAGGGGATGAAGGCAGTCGCAGAGGAGGAGGCTGTGGACGCCTCCACTTCATCCTCAAATTTGACTGTGACCTGGAACAGTTAATAGTTAAGATCCACAGAGCAGAGGACCTCCCAGCTAAGGACTTTTCTGGTACCTCTGACCCGTATGTTAAGATCTACCTGCTACCTGATCGTAAGACCAAGCACCAGACCAAGGTGCATCGCAAGACGCTGAACCCTGTGTTTGATGAGGTCTTCCTGTTTCCTGTGGCGTACTCAGAGCTTCCCACACGTAAGCTGCACTTCAGTGTCTATGACTTTGACCGCTTTTCCCGCCACGATATTATTGGCCAAGTGGTTGTGGACAACTTCATGGATCTGGAAGATTTCCCAAGGGAGACAAAACTCTGCCGGGACATCCAGTATGTCTCCTCGGTGAGTCAGCACATCTGTTCATAATTATGTCACGTCCATTAAACGTGCCATGTTATATTTAATTTTGAACTATTACTACAAAATGCAAGATCCATTTTATTAAGTGTGACATATTTGCTTTGTCGCTTAGTTGGACCGATTCTTCAAAAGTAGTGGGTGTGTAACTGATATATGGATTAAATCCCTTATTTTATTATTTTTTTTATCAGTCTTTTGTGCCACTTTTGGTCACTTTGTGACTCTCTCTGGCTTTCTCTCTCTCTCCCACTCTGGCCAATGGCCCTGCCCACGATACAATATATACCTTCCAGGCTGAGGCATTACATAACAGTGGCAATTCACTCTTCATTCAATGTTCCAGACTATTTTACATTCTACATCATTCCAAATTATTCTACATGTACAAAATACATATTTTAAAGAATAAACATAATAATATGAGTTGATTCAGAACATGAACCTGAAAATACTGTACTTAACAAATCAAAATTAAATAATTATTTAACAAAAATATTACCAAAATAACTATTTACCTGTAATCCCGAAAATCTAAATATAACAGAAAATACTGTCTTGTGACATGGTGCCGCCTTACTGAGAGCTACATATTTGGTTCACATTTGAGTTCTTTATTTCAGCACAATCTATCACTCAGAAACAATACGAAGCGTAACATAAAACTGAAACACGCTGAGCTGTCAGCTCTATATAAAGAAAGAAGAGTTACTTGGTGGGTAAGGTGAATAGGTCTTCTTTTGAAAAAAGAGGATTTCTCTTGATGACTTTGCTCTGTTTGTGGGTTAGTTAGAGAGTTTTTTAGCAATGGGTAGAGCATCAGATCAATACCAGACATGGTATTCTACTGCAGTATTTTACAGATTGGTCACTACAAAAAATATATCTCAGGCATCTGTATGGATAGATATTCATTTGTGCGCATTTGTTTTATTGCCATTTCACTCTTTGTAAAACAATGTATATGTTTCAAAATAAAAAAAAATTTAATTGTGAAGATGCTGAAACTCTTTTTAGGAGAGATTTCTATTTAACTAAATGATTTAATTATGTAATGGCTATTGTTACTTCAGGACAGAGGACATCATTGGGAGACACATTTACTTCATCTGCCCTGACTGGATTTATATCCACTGTCCTCTCCTGGGACATTTCCAGGGTGAGACCATCTAAGGTCAACCGGATTTAAAGCCTCTTATAGACAGTGTGCATGTGTATATTTATACTTTAATCTTTGTGAGGGGCATTTTTAGTTCTAAACTTGTTGAGTGAGAATATTTTTTTGTGAAATGAGGATGTTTATGCGCTATAATGTAACCAAAGGGGTCCTAAAGTATAGACGTACAAACAAGAGAGTGTGTGATAGAGTATGTGTGATAGTTTTACTTCACTACACCTTCATTGCTGCTACTATTACTACTCCTTCTTCCCTGTGTTACATTATACAGCTGAACGATACCTGACAGCTGTATTGTAACATGAACAGTACATGTATATGCATATAGGCTCCCAGTGATTGCCTCATCAACAGGCATCTCATTAGTTAAGCCCAACCTTCTGCAATGTGCAATTGATCCCCTGTTTCATGGCATACTTAAGTGCCATTTATAAGACTCCTTACCATTGATTGCTGCCAACAATTCAATTAATCACAGGCAGGTCAGTGAAACAAGATCAATGAAGTGGAGCTGTTTAATGGAAAATTGCAATTTTCTTTTAAAACACAGATACAATTTTAATGGCTCCAACCTTTGGTTGTATTTGTAATGATAACATTTTACTCACCAAAGTCATTGCTTAGATATTGGCTCAAACATGGCAACACTGCTAAAAATAAGCCCAGCAGGAAAAAACACAGGGTCTGTCAGCCTGGCAGTGGACAGTTTGGATCATAATTCAGTTTTGTTTTCCTTTCTAAATAAGACAACTTCGTTACAACCTGCCTAACTGTTCAGACGTGGTGCGATGTTTAAACATTTTTTTTTAGCTATGCCACAAATTCAGCAAATCTTTTTGTGAGTACAGTGTTATCATAACCAATATAACCTACTGTATGTCCCAAACCATGAAAATACAACCCAAGTTTAAAATGGTTTTTTTTAACTTTATTATCAACTATTACCGAACTGTAATAGCACTAGTAAAGCCTTAATCAGTTCTACATTACAATGCGTGTCATGAAAGTATATGATTGAGCATCTCTGTGTGTCTGTTTCTTGTGTATCTAATAAGCAAAGCATCCTCTGCCTCTGTTGATGACCAGGCTTGTCTCGTGCAGCTCTTGCGCACAATATATGCAAATACCTTGTCTGCAATGCAGTCATTTCAATTTAATGAGCTTTGTACCTTAGTAACTTGAATTTGTGTGCCTTATTGGTCCACTTGTCAATCTAGGCTAAATATAGCCACCATAGTAATGTGGTGTATGTGCTTTAGCTGGGAAAAAAGAACCTTGAAACTTATCAACATGCTTTTCTGCTTTGGTCTCTTATAAAAGAGAGCAGCACACATTAATTTCATATTCATTTTCATGGTCACTCATGCTTTCATTCAGAATAACTCCTCCATGGTGTATAATTTTCATGTAAAAATCTTGTTAAACTTGCCAGATGGTAGCCTGGCTTTACAAGTGGAGAAATACAGGCTTCAGTTGAACATAAATCTGTATAAAAACCATATAATCATATAAAGTAGCACAAAAAAATCACGCCTTACTGAGCAGTGTTCCCATATATAACATTTATATGTGAAATAAAGTCATTGAGATGTTGAGAATTTCTCCTGAAAATGCAGTACAAGATTATTGAAGGTTACATAGTAGAAAGAATCGGCCTCAGCCACGATGAGGCAATCAGTCATGTTCAGATTATACTGAAAATGGAATACTTTTGTAGTCGGATATTCTTTGGGGCTGAGGTAGAGACGTGCACTACCTGGCAGTCTGAATTATGCCTTTGTATTTATGCCTGACTACACACCTTACTTTATAATGAAGGTGGATACTCATACTATACAGTATGTCTTTGCCACAATGTGAAGAGGATACTCCTAATGGACCTAGAAAAAATTATATCTAAAAGTGCCCAAGCAATCGTCGGGAGCTGCAAGACAACCACAGATAATGTGAGATGCCTGACAAGAAGTAACGCCATACCGAAGCTAGTTATTGTAGGAAGAACCAGGTAGCTAAAGAGAAACAGTTTAGTGTTTGACCTGCTCAGCAATGCCAAAAAGTTAATCTCAGTGTATGTGTTTTAGTTTTTAAAGATCACTCATTAATAATTCATAAATTCTGCACCTTTAATTTCATTAACAATTTCCATAATCATGTGCATTTATTGTCAGTATTGTAATTTGTCTGATCACAAAGTAAGTAGAGAGAAAGGTTGCAGGAGACGTGGTGAGATACATCATTTGAAATTATGCTAATTCGGTCAAGCTCAATCCTACAAAATAACTCAGCTCACAATAATTTTTCTTTATTGTGCATGATTATCTTTTTGAATTTGTCTATACAACCAATGCCTGTGGTTAAAGAACAGTAATCCCTTTTTTCTTTCCCTTTTCTTGCAATTAAAATCTGGACAACTGATGTTTTTGTTATTTTTTTTTATTCATGTCACTTCAGTGTCTAACTCAAATTTGTGGTACCATGTGCATTTGTCACAGATATCTGCAGCAGACATCAGCCTGCCAGCTAACAGTTTAATGCAAAGTCTCACATATGGTCTGTTGGAGACCATTAACAGCTTCCTACTCATGGCCTCTAAAAATATTGGTGGCCAGAAGCCTTCTGCTTCCACCTCTCTCCATGTCTCCATCTCTCTCTGTCTGTCTCTCTCTTTCTCTCTCTCACACACACACACACACACACACACACACACGAGAGAGAGAGAGAGAGAGAGAGAGAGAGAGAGCTAGCGAGAAAGAGAGAGAGAGAGAGAGAGAGAGAGAATGTGCCTACTTTATCCAGTTGCTATATTTGTGAAACCTTTACAGGTTTGACCACACTTGCACTGAATCTTAAATGCAGTTTCTTTGCCAACCAGGCCAAGCTTGTCTCATACAACCCACGTATATGGGCATCACAGCTCCACTTGGCATCCACAAAGTCAGCTGTGTCCCACTTACATGATACATACACAAGTGGCGTTTGAGTTCATAAAAGTGACAAAAGCAATAGCACATTCAAAGATGTTTATACTGTATGTAAAGTGTATTCACTTGAATTATGGGTGTGATGTCCGACTGCATGATTCTGCACTGTTTGCACCAGTCAGGGCCATATGGAATTGCTAGTAGACCAGATGAGCAAGTGCATGCATATGGTGTTTCAGTGAGCTTCTCTGCAGTTACAGTGGCATTGCCAATAAAGTTCATTAAAGGGCAAAGCCTGGCATTTGCACTTGTCATGGCAGCCTAAAGCTATAGTATGTTGATGACAAGGACTTTGTTCAAAAGTAATTGCATTTCACAAATGTTTCACAAGCTTCAAGGCAGCATTTGTGTATGTTGACCCCATAAAGTATGTGCCTGTTTGGAAATGAAGGGTCTACTGTAGCTATCAGTTCTTAATAGGTCCTTAGGTATCTGTTTGTGAGTCTGCATTTGCAGCAAATAAGAAAAATAGACATCTAGAGGCGGGGCAAATAAAATCACAGTAAGCTGTTTTGTCAGCGTGCCAGATAAAATAGATATTTACAGCAGTATTGATATTTTTCTGTAACCTCTCTGCCACTGGCTGTTTTATGAGGCAGTGTTTCTGTCCTTAATTGTTGAATGTTAATCAATGTTACCCAGTTAGAGTTTAATGGTATGTGACAGCTGGTGATGGGGACGAGAGATTCACAGTATCTGGAGTGGTGTTTTTTTTTTTTTTGTCATTTTCACACTACTCAGCTCATGCACACACACATACAGTACACACACAGACTGTTACACTTGCACAAATGCTTGTTCTCAGACATTTGCACACATGCCCCACACTACGGATATCAGTACAGAGGTAGGACATTTTGTAACCAGTGCAGTAGAGCTCACAAATTCATTGGCTTCATTGACAGAAAAGAGGATTATTTTTAAGTGATGATTGCCAGTGGGATTGACCATATGGGTTGTTTCACTGCCAGAGCTGGGTTGTTTTTATCCGCAACAGAAGTTGGTTGTAAATAATGTGTTAATGTGTTATTTTTATGATTTAAAGAATGACAAAACAGACAAAAGCGCTATTATTTGCTGTATTAAATGTAGCCCTGTTTTACTTAGTTTGTTCATTTTAATTAATGGTTTTGGATTTTAATGTGCTTGTATAGTATTTGTCAACTGTGAAATGTGGAACACAGCCTTGCAGTGCAAAATTCAGAGGGATGACACATAAACAACCACACACACACACACACACACACACACACCTATGAGCAATTTAAAGTCAGCAATCAACCTAAGCTGCATGTCTTTGGGACAAAGCCAGAAAGAACCCATGCAAGCACAGGGAGAATATGCAAACCTCACACAGACACGTCTCAGGTAGGCCTGGGCTCAAACCCAGAATCTTCTTGCTATCAGGTGACAACACTAACCACCGTGCTGCTGTGCCACCTGAAGTTCAAAGTGCAGGGATTAAATGCCCATTTGTTGCCCAAGAAGGATTTTGTGGCAGAAGAAACACAGCGTTAATCTTTCTTTTCCAACCTGTATTTGAAGTGTGCACAAATTTAGACAGTGGACCATGACGGGTCCACATATGATGTGAAGTGCATTTTCTGAAGGAGCTGTCAGTTTATCCATCACGCAAATTAAAATGTCATAGCCTTGTTGAATATCAAGTACAATTTTAACAAAAGAGCCTCATCAAGGTATGAGGCAATTTAGGTCTGAACATCTGAAACTCTCTTTCTGTCTCTCTCTCTCTCTCTCACACACACACACATTTATAGGCAGTGATCACAGTTTTTAACAAGTGTCATATCACAGACGAGACACAGCCTTAGCGATGCTGACAAATGGTAGAGAAAGACTGACAGAACAGTGTGTGTAAGTGAGAGCGTGTGAAAAAGAAGGACATTGCTGCTTTATACTAATTTTTCAGAGACCTGTTTTCATAATGAAATTACAATTCAATTTAAATTCTTCTGACTCTGCTAAGCCACAAGACTTATACTGTAGTACATGTTATAATGCATATTGTTGCACTGTATCTCATACTATGTAAAAAGGCATTAATTTCTTTTGTAGTGCTTACATTTTTAACTGAGTAACCCCCTCCTGTAGATAAGGTTATTTTTGTTTTCAGAATAGCTTTTTCCTAATTGTTTTTTGCAGAACAAAACACAATCAACTAAGATCAATCACTCACTAGTGCTTTGATTATGTGCCATTAGCTGCTGATATCTCCTGCTAGCAGATGGCCAATAGACCTGTCTCTTTTAATAAGTGGAAAGCAGGCACTTTTCTGTTCCCTTGTTTCTTACAAGTGTACCAGCTAAGGGATCGACCACAGTCAGAAATTAGCTCATATTGTACTTTCCAAATAAACACCTGGATATATTATAAAGGTGCCTACAACAGCATAAAAAACTTCTACATGTTCCTTGTACTTCAGGATTGTCATAACAATACAAGGCCCATTCTAATCAACTTTAATCTCCCAGTATATTTGCAAAATTAGATGACATTATCTCAGTTAATAGAGCTGCTCTACAAAATCAGTAATCAATAGCAGATGAGGCCTGATTCAAAATTCCATCCCAATCACACAGACAGACTAGTAGATCGGCAAGAAATTCTACAGTAGGAGTTCTTGACACATTTGTGTGCTTTCCTGAATCTCACTTCTTCAGTGGAGTTATTTTAAGAGTAAGTGATAAGTGAGCTTCTGCCATTCTGCAGCTGAACAGAAGCCTCCATATCGGGTGAAATGTGTTTGGCTTTTATTAGAGCAATGTGACAGAGGAGAATATTCCTTAACAGAAACATGTTTCAGCTCACCTTCAGCTAACATATGGTAAAGAAAAGCAGGAGAAATAATGCCAATATTGTTATTAAAAGAGAGACTGTTAAGTTGCATTACCAAATATAAAAGCAATACATACAAAAACAAACTAGTCATATATAATCAAAATAAAACGAATGGTAAAGCGAATATGTTGTGTTGTCTTTCAGGATAATGTGGACCTCGGGGATCTGATGTTTTCACTCTGTTACTTGCCTACAGCAGGCAGACTGACCATCACCATGATAAAGGCCCGCAATCTCAAGGCCATGGATATCACTGGTGCATCTGGTAATTAATGCCATGTTTTTAACTACAGTCTCACTGGTATCCTGAAGGAATATTAACATCTTCCTGTTCGGTTTCTCTCACCTGCATAGATCCATACGTGAAGGTTTCATTGATGTGTGATGGTCGCAGGCTGAAAAAGAGGAAGACATCAACAAAGAGGAACACTTTGAATCCAGTTTACAATGAAGCCATTGTGTTTGATGTCCCTCCAGAAAACATAGAGCAGATCAGCCTCTTGATTGCAGTGATGGACTATGACCGGTTAGAAACTTTTACAGGGCTACAAATAAGTTAAAGAGTATTTTGGATGTCTTGTATAAGTCATATTTAATTTAGGGCACAAATATGAGATATTTAAAAGCACATGGTAACAGTTTTTAGACCGTCTTCAACTCTGTTTTTGACATGGAAACAGTTTTGTGGTTTCTTAGGATCATTATTTTCAGAATGCAGGGTTGTTCGTGATGACACTGTCTTTCTCTCTCTCTCTCTCCTGCACATGCAGTGTTGGCCACAATGAGGTCATTGGGGTGTGTCGAGTAGGCAACGATGCAGACAACCTGGGTCGAGACCACTGGAGTGAAATGCTCACATATCCTCGAAAACCTGTCGCCCACTGGCATCCTCTGGTTGAGGTGAGGTGACTTTACAGTAATGAATGTGTCAGGTGTTCCCATGCATGGATGAGCAATGACCAGATTTTGAACATTAACATATTTTAGTTCTTTCACTAACTGTTATTTGTGACTAATACTTTCATAGAGAAAGGTTTTTCAGTCCTCAGGCACAAATAGATTCAATCTAACTAACTGCAAACTATTTAGTTGATGGTTTTATCTGATACTATCACAGCCCCTATACTTTACAAAGGTCTAATACAATAAACTATTCCAGGAAGAGGAGGATGTCTGTATAATTCTAATGTAATTTTATCTTAGCTTTTATAGCCAAAGTTTGACAGAAATAGCCAATGCATGAAAAATGTAAGTTAAATGTTAAGAACGAACAGAATTGACAAGTAGCCTGTAATACTAAAGAACATACTGTATATCTGACCCAGTAATCTTAGTCCACAGAGGATGACGCTGTTTCTTTGAAAGTACATATCTGGATCTGATTATGGAAGCATAACTTAATGATCCTCTGCCAAAGTTAGCATGGCAATGCACAGTTCTATAAAACTGTGTTTTTTTAGACCAAGAAACCAGTTTAAGCCTGCAGTTATAGTTGTGGTTTCGCAAGACAGGCCCATTACATGACAGGCCCCATGTCTATGAGAGTGTACCAGATCACTCAGTTTTAGTCTTGATCTTCTTGCCTTTTTAGATAGTGTAGTGGGAAACTAGCAGGGGAGACAAAGTAGACAAAAGCTCTGATGTGATTCAGCCCCAGGCATGTTGGGATGCATTTGGTTCCAGATGAAAGCCACTAGGCTTTATGTGGGCAGTTCACAAAATGATATAAATAAAATAAATGCAATTAGCCAAAATATATTCCTGGAAAACCTTTAGATTTACTGGGACTTGCAGAAAACTGAGAGTAGACGAGGTGTAGTGCCAGACAAACCACAGAACTGATATCCTGACAGCAGGGAACAGGAAGTCACACTACAGTAGGAAGCTGCGAGTTGGCATCCCTGACATGTGCACTCAGCCTGGAAGAATGGCTTTACTGTGTGTATTTACTTGCACATCAAAGGTCTGCATCTACAAAATGCAAAGATACAGTGAGTGTCAGCCAAAACTGGTATTTGAGCTGTTTCTTTTGGGGAATGACAGTATGTGGAACTTCAAAACCTCTATTGGAGCCTTAAGACACTACATTTAATGTTTACCTCCTCCCAAATACTTTCAGTCACAGTTGTTCCGTATTCACAGAATTGCTAAGTGCTGCTTTTATCCTTTTGCTTACAGCTGGCAAACTAACCATTCACAGTCTCTATTCCAATAAAACTGAAAACTGAAAAATGGGGGATATTTACCATTTGTTTTACTGGCCAATGCATAACTCTGCAAGTCATTAGTACTGTACTTTTGTTTAGATGTTCCAAGATGAAATGATGATGAAAGATGAAAATGTGGCTATTTTGTTTGACTGTACATTGTTTATATGACTCTGAGAAAGAAGGTTGCATGGTACAACTTATTATTTCTGCTTTACTCTTTTTTGCAGTACCAAGGGGCCACTAGTAGTAGCCAAGGAGGATCCTGTAATTCTCTGAAGACACCTCCCTCACCGTAGTATTGACCAACAATTCACATAAGAGCACCAAACAAACGGAAGCCCCCCAGATGCATCCTTTGACAGTGGAGCTGCTGAGGGCTGCACACATACGGTCTTGGAAGAAGAAAGCAGACACTGATAAATACTATGGAACAAGAGACACAAACTGTTTTGAGCTCTGCTCAGCTGGCTCAGTTGCATGTTGAATGACGACAAAGATGGGTGTTTGCTTTTCTATAATGTTCGATAAGAAAAAGAGCAGGCATAGGCAAACATTTTAGGTCTGTGCTATTCCTGGGTTTATACAGTAGGTACAGTATTTTTTTTTTTTTTACATTGTCTTGTTACTTGTTCTAATGAGGTGAGTCCGTATTTGCAAAACCTTCTAACAAGCAGTCGAACTGCCATATAGTTTTTTTAATTTGGTGGTGAATTGGTGCATGAGGTCATGGTTTGGTGCGATATCTTCTCCTTGTTTGTTTGTTTCTGTTGCTATATTGGGAATACGATGTGTTGTTCTGTCAGATGATGTGCAGTGATGGTTAATTTCCAGACAAAGTACCTGTAAGTAAAATATGTTCAATGTTATCAATAAATATTATTGCAAAAAAAAAAAAAAAAATTTGATCTTTGCCCATTACATTTTATAGCATTGGAATTTAATTGTGTAATCATTTTTCTTTAACTTATTGTTTGTTTGACTTCTTTTCAGAAAAAAAAATGCTGATGATTATAGTTGTGCATGGTGGAGAACCAGAATATTCAATAACTTATGGAAATTAAATCTAAAAAGAGCTAGAAAACAAATTTAAAGCTACAATTTATTATGTAGTGTGTCAGCTTCACTGTTGTTTATGATTAGTCTATGAGAAGTACAATTCATTAGAAGGTACCCGAGCAGCTTTCCGCAACAGGCGATAAAAGCTGCTTGTGTAAGAAGATTAGGAATGCCTGTAGGCACGGCTCTGAAACGAACCTTTGCCAAATTAGAAACTTAGAAAGCATTTTAGTAAAAGAAAGAAAAAATATTGGAAATTCATTATCATAGCACATATTTGCTATGGTTCCCCTCGCAGTGAGCAACTAATTTAATTTTAGACTATGCAGACTGGATTGTGAATGTGTTTCTCATAATTTGGCAAGTTGCTGGTGAACATTAAATATTGGGGTTCACTGGTGGATAAGTGCAGCATGTGTTGTGTTGCATGTAAACAGGAAGTGACTAAGTTTGATGTAATCATTTTACATCCAAATGTTTGACTCACTATGTGAGTAGGAACTTAAACACCTGGAACTTAATTATCCTGTTTTATTATTGTCTCTCTCTTCCCCTCATCTAATCTGCATAAATGGGAAGAAGCTCTCTGTCCTGTGCCTATAGTGATGTTACATTTAGGCTTGTGCTTGTGTCATTGTCTCAGGTGTTGATGAGAGGCTAACCCTGGCACACACAGTATAGATACCGGCTTTCATCAAACTCGATTTGACAGTTCTAGGTGAAAGGTTATCCAATCAGAAGCTTTGTCCCACCCCCAAGAACCCCA